CAGACTGGCTCTCACGGCTGGGGGAGGGCCACAGAGGTAACCTCCGTGCGTTTCCCTTCCAGGAGCAACCCGAGAACCCCGACATAAAGGGTGAAGTTGGAGACGTTGGGACCCAGGTAGGAGAGTCCTTGGCTGTGGCGACGAATCCCCTGTCCTGGTCCCGCGCCCTCTCTTTCCCGCCGTGGCCTTTGGGACGCTTCCCCTTCTTTCCCTCCACCGCTGCTGACTCTCTCGCCGTCTTCGCCGTGGGGGTCACACTGGCTTGGAGGAAGAGAGAAACGAAAGCCGTCAGCCTGGGCTGGCTAGCAAGAGACGCACCGGCCACCTCTCCATGGCAAACTTGGCCAGCCCTTCCCCAGGAACTCTGGGAACTGTAGTTCTGTGAGGAGCTCGTGGGACTCTGAGCAGCTGCAAAAAATTCAACTGGTGCATGCAGTAAGGAGGGGAGGCTTCGCCAGCCGGATTTCTACCTGAGGTCACACGGGGCGGGGGGGAAGAAAGGAAGGAAGTCCTATGGACAATTCCTGAGATCCCTGGGGGCAAAGCAATGAGGAATTTCAGACAGACGATATAATCCGGAAGAGGAACGGTACCCAAACGGTTTCTGGTCTGTCATTTCAGACAGAACCACCTTAGAACCGGTTCCCTACCGGAATATATTTGTACTTTCACAAACAAATGCTTCTGTCCCGTTTAGGAAATGGGGCTGAAGCGTTTTACCTGTCAACCGCTTCCAAGTAGTCTTCAGTTTCCTCTCCCAGTTCCGATGCGCTTTTTCCCGCCGTTTTTCGCCCGCGCCATTGGAATGCCTGGGGTGTTGTGTTATAGCGCTATAGCGCTCTAAAGCGAACGTTAAAAAAAAAAGGCGGAGATCGACCGCGCGGGCGAAAAATGGTGGGGAAAAAGCGGTGCAGTCTGAAATGGCAAACCCCTTCAGATCCAGCTCTTTACCAGAAGGGGAAAGCCATGTGTGATATGGCAGCTCCACGACGGATCAAAAACGGTTTCAAAACAGGTTAATGAGAACGGAGCCAGCTTAAAAACAGTCAGGGTCTGTAGTGCAGAAATGGAGGCAGAGACAGGAAATATGTCGGGGTGGGGGGAGGAAGATGAGGAGGCTCTGCAGAAATTGGGGCGGGCTGTTGATGTGACTGGAGTGGAAGGGAAGCGTTGTGGCAACTGGAAGCCAGCAGGGGGCAGGAGACACAGAGGCAGGCCTGAATGTGGGTTAGAATCATAGAATGTTAGAGATGGAAGGGACCTCGCAGGTCATCTAGTCTAACTCCCTGCACTCTGCAGGAGCACAGCCGAAAGATAGCCCTGCATACCTACAACTTACCTGAAAGATGGTCGTCCAGCCTCCGCTTGAAAACATCCAGCGAAGGAGCATCAGTAAAAGGAGTACTGAAGGATGATAGGGAAATTGCTGAAAAGCTAAATGCATTTTTTGCCTCTGACTTCACTGTGGAAGATGAGAGGTGCTTGCCCACTCCAGAACCGCTGATTTCAGGAGGGGTGTTGAAAGACCTGAGTCAGATTGAGGTGACGAGAGAGGAGGTCCTAAAACGGATAAACAACTTAAAAACTAATAAATCACCAGGCCCAGATGGCATACATCCAAGAGTTCTGAAAGAACTCAAATGTGAACTTGTGGATCTCCTGACAAAAATATGTAATCTTTCCTTAAAATCTGCCTCCATTCCTGAGGACTGGAAGGTAGCTAATGTCACTCCCATCTTTAAAAAGGGTTCCAGAGGAGATCCGGGAAATTACAGGCCAGTCAGTCTGACGTCGATACCGGGTAAATTGGTGGAAACCATTATTAAGGAAAGAATTAGTAGGCACATAGATGAACAAAACCTATTGAGGCAGACTCAGCATGGGTTCTGTAAGGGAAGATCTTGTCTCACTAACCTGTTAGTGTTCTTTGAGGGGGTGAACAAACAAATGCTCCGGTCGGAAAGGCCCCCTGTCCCCACACCCAAGTAGCCCGTCTGGCAGAGAAGGTAAGCCAGTGCCGTGAGTGTGGGGAAGATCAGACCAGTGAGTTTCCGTCGAGTCCAGGCTCCGGTCTCACACAGCAGCCAACCAGTTCCTCTGGAGGGCCAACAACGGGTTCACGGAGGCCTGAGGCTGCCTCCCGGCTCTGGGATTCAAGGAACTTAGTGCCCTTCCTTCCAGAAGGACTTTGGGTGGAGCTGTTTTCTGGGAACTCAATTCCCAGACATGCCTGGGCCCAGTTCAGGTTGTGACTGGCGCAAGTGGAGATGGCGATTTGGCCTCCCCCGCGGCCACACATGCACCATTTTCTTCACCCGAAGAAGCCCTGGGGGAGCTGCTGTTTGTGCCACCAGGGAAACCTCAGCGCAGCCCTCCTCTGTACGTGCAGATAGCCCCCGTGGGGCAAACGGCAGCTCCGCAGAGTTTCTTCAGGTCAGGAAAATGGCATGGGGGTGGGGCTGACTCCCCTTCTCCTCACACGCCACGGTCCCAGTCTGAATTGAGCCTGCAGTTGCCTGGGAATTCCAGTCACCTCCATGTTTGGTCTGCCCGAAAGCAAAACCGAGTCAGGACACACCAGACATAAGAACATAAGAGAAGCCATGTTGGATCAGGCCAGTGGCCCATCCCGTCCAACACTGTGTCACACATCGGCCAAAAATGCCACGTGCCCTCAGGAGGTCCAGCAGTGGGGCCAGAACACCAGAAGCCCTCCCACTGTCCCCCCCCCAAGCCCCAAGAATACAGAGCATCATTTGCCCCACACTGAGAGTTCCTATCTATACCTTGTGGCTAAGAGCCACTGGTGGACTAGCAGCAGCACAGAAGGCCTGCCCCTAGCACTGTATCAGCCTACTATTGTAAGGTAAGCACAAATGGGAAATCTTCAGGAGGTCCAGCAGTGGGGCCAGAACATCAGAAGCCCTCCCCCCCTTCCTTCCTCCTGTGTCTCAGGAACAGGCAGTGAAGAGATGCTTTTGAGCCGACATCTTTTCAGAGGTGTGGAAGCGGCTGCCGTACCTCCAGTCCAGATAGGAGAGATGAGTGTTACGATATTCTGGGACCCTCCCATTCCCCTTTAGTTCTTTTATTGGTTGGGTGGAGACTGGCAAGGGTCTGAATCAATACAGAGATACCATAGTTCTCAAACAAAACCAATTTATCTTATCTTCCTGTATATAATTGTCCAGTATATTGGCCATTTCCAGATTTCCCGTTGGCTGTGCTGTTCGCTCTATCAGCCTTTGGCCAGTCAACCGCCACTCAAG